CTGGGCCAATACCTATGGAACAGCTGGTCAAGGTGGTTATAATGACAAGGCAACCGCCCACTCGTTTCACTTCTTCACGCCTTCAATTGTGAGAGCAACGGAACTCCGCAAGAATCCCACAGATCGCTGCGCAGCACGTAAGCCCATAAACCTCCCCCAACATCCCATGAAGTCAGAGCAGGCGGGGCGACCGGCGCCATGGGCCAATCAGCCTCAGAGGTGCCGAGAGCTCCTCGGCGGGCGGTTCCGCACTCGGCTTTCGCGTGAGCTCGGCGGCAAGCCCAGGATGTCGAAGAGGGAGTGCGACTTGGCGATGCGAGTCGTCACGCAGATGGTTTTTTGGTTTTTCTCTGGGCCCGTTTTTTGGGTGCGGCTTTAAAGGGAGACCGGAAGGAAAACCGTGGCGCCATCTTGGGGGTCCCCGAAAAAAGGACAGGCCCAAATGGTTGATGATGGGGAAGTTGAAGCGGGATTTCCGCTTCACACGACCTGCCCGGCTCAGGCGGACAGTTGTTTGCGTGCATGGACTGGCATCCTGCGCTCTTGTGGGAACAACGCAGGGAGGCTTGAGTGTCCGAGCTTCGGCCTTTCACTCTGAGCCAACAGCCCGGTCCAGTCTCTGGACAGGCAGCCATGCTTTTCTTTGTGACCACTGCGACAGCGACGAGGAGCAAGGGGGCTGACATGTGCAGTTGTGCAGGCTTGAGTGGGTCAGGGTGATTTGAAGGTGTACTCCGGGGCTGAGGTCGAGTCGAGCATGCATCCAAGGCTCAATGTGCAACATGGCCATGGGTCAAAATCTCGTACTCCCAGCCAATCCCGAATTCTTGACCATTGACTGCCAAGGAAGAAATCATCCAAGAAGCATTCTAGAGGTTAATAATAAAGAAGCAGGAGATGGAACTATTTTATCATGGTCAATTTATTTGTATCTCCATCTCTCACCTCTAGAACTGGATCTTGGTCAAGGGATGGTGAAAAGATGAAATTCTAAACGAAATAACCGAAAGAAAATAAAAAATGTAAGCAACGATAATTTATTTTGTAGAAATTCTTTAATCTGAGGTAGTAGAAGTTGGAAAAGGAAAAGTTAATGAAAAGATAAAATGCATGAAAATATGGTTGTCTTTCTAGTTCTCTTCTTCATGCCTTATCTCATCTTATGGTCTTTCTTTTCATAATATCATATTTATTAACTTGTATATCCTGTTTCTGAGAAGATTCTGGGTGGTGCACCTACCCCCAAAATGGGATGCCATTGGTTTTGACAACCACAGCCACATGGCGTCAGAATGGCAAGTCCGACGGTTGGTCTCAGGAGCGGCGCTTGCTGTTCATCAGCATCAGCCAGCTGGCCAAGAGACCCCATGTCGTCCAGACCTCAGCCACCTTTTCGGCCGTTTTGGGCGAATCGAATGCACAGCTCGGGTCCACCTGAAGTACCTCTCGACTTTGCAAATGAAAAACGGAAGCTCCCAGGTTGGAGAAGTGAGGGCGGCGGAGGGGGGGCGGCGGGGGGGGGGGGGGGGTCCGACTGAGGTAAAGGGTCTTGGGCTGCAGTGGGAGGCTGCCGTTAGCGCAGACCAGGCGCGATCCGGGACTTGTTTCGACTTTGGGCAGGCGGACCCGAGAGAACTGCCCACCAAAAAAGGGAACCCGCCACCGGCAAGAGCCCATTTTGAAGTCGGAGTTTTGAGGGCTCTCCCTGGACCCTGTTGCCCCTTTTCGAAGACGGGGCCAACCTGCAACCCATCACACCTTTGAGTCTTTCGTGAAACCTCGCTGCTCGTGTTTAGCGCAGGTCTCTGATTCCCGCTCAGATGTCTCATCACAGCCATGTCTGGAAGCAAGGATTGCTTGGCACGCGTGCCTTCCATGAAACCTGACGCACTTGATGAATGAAGTGTCCACCTTTCAAGAGACTCAGGAGAACCACGCTTTAGCTTTGAGAGCGATACGCGTGTGTCTAGTTCTTAAGGGTACCCCTTTTCTGGAGGGGACCAAAAGGCAAGCCACAAAAATGTCAGGGTGCCCTCACAAAATGACACACACGTGGCTGAACACATACCCTCGGCCAGGATCGTCAGCTGTGGTTGATTGCCACGACACTTGATTTGGTGTGGGTCCTTTTGGGGGACACCAAAATGAGCCACAATCAAAACCCGGGTAGATGAAGCTTAGTAAAGGACGATCCCAACCATAAATAGCTGCGGCCGCCTTCTTAGTTCCTTAAATGGTTCTGAAGAGACCATTTTAGCACCGGGTTTGGATTGTGACTCAAATGGCTTCGGCTTTCCTTTTGGCTTCCCTAACCAACCCAGACTGGGGGTTCTCAAAAACAGAAAACATCCACCCGCTTGTCACACCTTCGTCTTTTCGAGCATGTCTTGTGTGGCAAGGTGGAAACAATGCGTACCAGCGATGGGTACAACGGCATGCAGGCCAGTGGCGTTTGGATACGCAGAATCAACAATTGATGCCAGAGCAAGAGCACAGAGATGGCAGATTGAATCATGTCTACAGCTTGGCACCCCTTTTTGGGATGGCTCAAAACAAGACAAAACCAGAAGTCGAAATGCACACCCACAGTTTTGCTTCTAAAAAAGACACACACACACATATATATATATATGGTTATATATAATATATATATATATATATATAATATGGTACCCCCCCCTCCATGGACCCTGGCTTGATAAGCTTGAGCTGTGTGTTTTCCAATGTTTTGTGCCTTCGGCCTCGTTGATTTGGTGGCACAAATTGGGGGGGGACCATCGGCTGAGAGCAACGCAGAGGTCTTTCCGGTGGAGGGCCTCGAGGGCATCCGCACGCTGAACCCTGGAATGGAGTCCGACGCTCGCCGGGAAAGATGGTGCGCTCTCGGTCCCAACTGGCTTCGCCTGAGAATAGGAATCTGACCCGTTTTTAAAAGGATGGTAAAAGGCAACCAAGAGGAAGCCACCTGGATTGGTGCCCCTTTTTGGATGGTGAAAAGAAAGGAAACCAAGAAGAAACAACCTCGCCAATAAAGAGGAGTCGGTCCGCGATTTTTGGAGAAATACCCAAATACAGTGAGAACGTCGAATCTTCTCGCGGCAAACACGCCGAGCCGCTGAGAACGTCACGCCGATTCTTCTTTGGCACGCTCTGATCGAGCACTTGCCGCGGCACTTAGCATGGCTGAGAGCAGATTTCTATGATTCCATCCAGCACCCGGGTCCCCAATTTTCGGCTTTTCGACCGTGTCCAAACTCCCAAGTATGGTCGCAGAAAGAAAAAGAGATATGCTGCTTGAGCAACTGTCCTTCAAATCCTGTGGTTGCTATGGACCCGGGTGGATGTGGGCTTCGTTTTGAATCAATCTTTTGATGAACAGCCGTTCGCATGATGAGATCGGGATAAGGTCGCCTGATGTGAACGTGACCGTGCCTTGGTTTTCAGTCGCGGCTGTTTTCTTTTGGCCAAGGCTAAGATGTCCGACGGTGACAACTGGTTGCATCGTTTCTTGAGGTTGGTACTTTCTGGGATGCGTGTTTTTTCAAGGGAATCCAGCAGAAATCGTTGCCATTTGGCCGCCCGAAACACCTGAAATTGGGATGGCGCTTTGGCAAAGTGGTCCATTTCCCTTTTTGGAACTGGAAGTGGAGGTCGTTTGAACTTGAACCACCATTCAAGTCATCAACTTTTGATTTGGGGAACTGTGACAACTGTCATTGCAGGTTTTGTCCAAAGGGTCTGATGAAATGCCTGTTTGCAATGTGCACAATAGCGACAGTGTGCGGCTGGTGCCCAGCGCAGTTCAGACCCGGTCTCAAGCTTGCCCGTCTTGAGGCCTTCAACTATGCTGCTCGTTTGCACGTGGTGAAATCGGCGTTTGATTTGTCAGTGCATTCGTCGCCCAAGGATTGGCGCAGGCGGGTTTTGGGCGTGTGGCATGCGTCTTGCGGTTCCGAGGGCTCTGGGATTCAATCCAGTACAGCCAGAGTTGGATAGAATAGATCCACCGTCTAGGATTTTCATCAAAACTGGGTCCCCGGCCATTCTTTTGGGAATCGGTTGAAGCCCAAAGTTCAACTCACTCCAAGGCGCGACCCATGATTCACGGATCATTTTCTGAAATGGGTCCCAAATTATCATTCCTTTTCTGTTGATGGAGGCTTTGGGAACCCTGTGTGGGAAATTTGGGGTCCTTGAAAAACATGGGATTGCGGAGGTGGGGTGACCTGCTCTACGTGGCGCAGCTGCTGCCGCGTTTCCAGCGCCACATCGAGGCGGCTGCGGCCGTGTCTCGGCAGCCGGTGGTGGTGGTGGGCCATTCCCTGGGAGCGCAGGCGGGGATCGACCCGTCACGGTGGTGTGGGATGGGTTTCGCAGTAAGCCCTCGACAGGTTCAAATCCCATCCAAACCATGTGGGTCAAAAAGTCAAAAAGTAAGTGGCCCCAAAATGGGTTGTGGCAGTGGAAAGGACGGGAAAAAACTTGGTACATATCCTGGTGGCTTAATCTTGAGCCATATCCAATTGACCGTGGGATCTCCAGACGCCTTTGCAAGCATTGAAAGCCCCGCACAGGCATGGGCAAACAGGAGCCACAGCCCTGCCACAGCCCTATACAAGGTATTCTGGAAACAGTTGAACACCGCATTGAAGGTTTCACCTGATGACAACTTATGATCAACACTTGATGTTCAAGGGGTCTACACACACGCACAACAAAAGCAGCAGGTACAAAAGCAAAAGGGCAGCGACACAATTTTGCTTGGGACTGTCCTTGACTAAGCTTCTCGCCGGTTTGACTGCGGCTCGAATGCTGTGGACAGCTTCTTTTCTCAAGCTAGAGACATGGATATTGCCACACAACACTTGCTCCCAGCCCAGCCAGCCCAGACTTCAATTCGGGTGCTCGAAATGCTCAAACCATGTTGCAAAGCCTCTGCTAAACCTTGGTGGGTGAGTGTTTTTCCTCGCATCTTCGCAAGCTTCAGCCTCACCTTGCCACTTCAGCCTACCCCAGCTTCGCCCCCTAGGGGTGCCCTCTCCCCTTCGGAGCCATGGTGATGGCTATGGCCATGGCCGTTGCCGTGGGGCTGTTGGCTCTCTGCGCCGCGGTGGATCGCTCCAAGTTCCGGACCTGCGAGCAGACCGGCTTCTGCCGTCGCTACAGGGCCTACGTCCAGGACGTCGGTTCGGGTCTTTTGCTTCGCGGGTCGCGGGTCGCGAGTCGGAGTAAACCGGGTGCACGGGTGCATCGGGTTGAGAGGTGGTGGAGAGGTGGCTTGAGACTGGCTGGGCATGGGCGAAAAATGGTGCTGCCACTTGAGGAGGTGCTGCAGCGCCCTGTGCAGGGGCACTTTGTGGACGTGAGCACGCTAGCTCACGAGGCCAGGCCGTTTCTTGTGCAAGCTCACTCTATTTTCTGATCCTAAATCAAACATTTAAACCTGTCAAACGGTGCACCTTAGAGTGCTTTGCCAAATTTGAGTTTGTTTGCAAGTAGGGGTACCTCAAAATGGGTCTTTCTTTTGGCTTTCCCTTTAGACCAACCAAAACAAAGGGCACCTTCAAACATCCACCTCACACCCATTTGGGTTGTCTCTCTTTTTTGAGGGTACCCCTTTCTTGCTGGCTTGAAAGGGACACCAACCGGAAAAACCGGGGAACAAATATAAAAAGAAAGTCACCGCCGCTTTGGGCCCTTTTTTGGGTGCCGGGGCATCGCTTCTCTCAGGGCCACGAAGTCTCCGTGCTGCTGCGGCAGCCGGGGCGACACGACCCGCTGCGCTTGGAGCTGAGGTTCTTTCAGACGGCCGGCGGCTGCGGCGTGGCACCGCGGCCAAGGGGGAGGGTCCGTTTTGGGGGTTGGTTTGGCTCGGTGTAGCCCTGGGCTTCAAGGCCCATGGAAAGAAGGGCAACCAAGAGGACCCAAGTTAGACGAGTGACAATCCCGCAGTTCAGGTACCCCTCAATTGGTGGTGCGGGTTGGATTGATTTGGATTTGGATTCGAAGCCTGGTTTCTTGTAAAGGGTAAATGGTAAACCCGCAAGCGCAACCAAACCACCTTGGAAGCCGAAAAGTCATACCTCAGGGTTGCTTTTGGGCTTCAACCGATTCCCGGAGGAACGGCCGGGAACCCACTTTTGACGACAATCCTTAAATGATGATTACTATATTAACCCAACAAATGTGCTAGGGTTTGAAGGCAAACCAACACGAACACAATTTGACATTCCCCTACGAAAAAGACACATTCATACCAGCACCACCCAATTTGCCAGCTTTTTTTCCACCATGTCCGACAATCCTGTTTGTATCGGTCGCCAAAAAGCCGTAGTTAGGACCCGGGTGCTACCGTCCGAGGTGCGCGTTACCATCTCGGCGGTGTTGGGCGCGCGGTTCCGCGTGCGCGAGGGCGACGTGGCCATGGCGCCAGGGGGCGGCCTCTGGCCGGATACGGTTGAGGTGCAGCAGCACGAGGCTTTGAGCTAAGAGGGTTCTCAATGGCATGAAGCTTTAAGTAGAACATTTTTTTGGACATGAGCATTCCATGTCTCACCAGCCACTCTTGTTTTTAAAGGTTCCATCTCGGTCCCTGGCCTTGTCGCACTTGCAATTCAGCATTTTTTTTTTAATGAAAAAAGCGAAAACAGCAGGCCTTGTGGCACTTCTCACTTCGCCAGGGCTCCACGGAGCTCAGCTCCGGGCCCTGCTCCGCGCTGCTGCGGCACTCGCCGCTGGCGCTGGAGCTGCGACGCGGGCGCTGGCTGCAGCGGCTCAACGCCCGGCGCCTGCTGAGCCTCGAGCGGCCCCGCACCAAGGGAGCGGAGGGCTCAGCCGAGGGCGGCGCCCAGGCCGAGAAAGCCGCGCGGCCGCTGGATGCCACGGACATGGACACGGAGCGCCTCTGGCATGGTGACTTTCCCCCAAAAACCGAGCTGGGAAGGTTCCGGAGAAACATAAAGATCCGCGGTTTTCCGGACTGGACCTTTTCCTTCCGCGACTCTTTCTTGTTTTTTCTTCTTTTTTTTTCCACCCTTTGGACTTTGTCCGTGGCTTTTTGCCAACCCTTCGCCATGTCCGGTTCTGAGGCTCTGGGAGGAGGCCTTCGACGGCTTCGTGGACTCCAAGCCGAGGGGCCCCACGGCGGTGGCCTTCGACGCCAGCTTCGCCGCCGCCACGCTGAGCGGCCTGGCGGAGCACAGCGCGCGGCTGCGCCTGGAGGAGGCGGCCGGGGGCTTCGGCTCGGAGCCCTTCCGCGGCTTGGCGCCGGGGGAGGGGAAGGGAGGGGAAGGGAAGGGAGCGATGGGAAGACGCGGAGACTGGGGGGGAAGCGGAAGAAGGGGGAAGGGGGGCGGGGAGTTATTTTTTTGGGGGAAGAAGAAGGGGTGCAGGAAAGAAGAAGTTGGCGGGAGAAGGAGGGAAAAGGGGGAGGACGCGGAAGAAACACGAGAGAGAAAGGGATGATGATAGTTTCAAAGGATGTTGGTGGGGAAAAGGGGGCAAAGCTGAGTGCTTGGCTGAGAAGTATGTGGCTTGCCGAGTCGCTCCGCGGCGGGATGAGCCCCCCCACATTTGCGATCAGGGCCCTGAAAACAAGTTTATGCTTAGAGCATCCTGTTCCAAGGCCAATTGAACTTCCGTTGCCTTGCAACGGCTCTGCTTCCAAAAGGGACCTGGAGTGGCTCGTCCTTTTTTCCTCCCTCTTTTATTCCTTCTTCTTTTGGCCCTAGGGCTGTACAACCTGGATGTCTTCGAGCACGACGTGGACGTGCCCATGGCGCTCTACGGGAGCATCCCCTTCGTCACCGCGGTGCACGCGGACGACTCCGCCGGCGCCTCCGCCGTGGCCTCGGGGCTGCTGGTGGTGAACCCCTCGGAGGGCTTCGTGCGGGTGGAGCGAAAGAACGCGGCGGATGCCGAGACCTGGTGGGCCTTCGCGGCTCGGCTGGTCCAAGGAAAAAGACGAGTTCCGGGGGGGGGGGGGTGAAAGGGGGGGGGAGGAAGAGGGGGCAACTCTAGAAGCAGGTGGGCAATCTTGTGAGAAAGCTTAAATGGCGGCTAGCAGGCATGTGCAACGTGAAGTCCGAAGCGACTTTATTGAAGAATGGCTGGCAAGATTTCCGTCAGATCCGAGTGAGGAGGCGGGGGTTTTGGACCTCTTCGCCTTCCTGGGCCCGAGCCCGGAGGAGGTGCTGCGGCAGTACCACGCCGTCACGGGCTGGCCGCGGCTGCCGCTGCTGGCGGTGCTGGGGAAGCATCAGTCGCGCTGGAACTACGTCACCCCACAAGACGTGCTGGAGGCGGGCGGCGCCGGAGGGAGATGCTTAGGAGGATGGGCGCGGATGGAGTGAGCCGTTAGACCCAGTCAGAGTGTTGGAGGGGTGGTAGGTAAAGGAGGGAAATTGGGGAAGTGAGGGAAGGCAAGGGAGAAGGCAGCACATGAGGCTCACGGGCTTCAATCTGAAACTAGTTTTCGTGCCGTAGGCTTGGCGAATCAGAAGTGCTTTGCTTGTAGGTTTGCGCCCACTGGCAATGCAAAGCAGGTGAGCGCTGGATTCGACCAGCACACCATCCCACTGGACTTCATTTGGCTCGACCTGGCACCATGGCTTCTGCGTTTTGTTTTGATTTTCCTCTGCTCTTTTGCCAGTTTGTGCGTAGGAGGTCATGATGCCTTCTCCATTTGGGTGGTCTTTTCTACGGGGCTTGGGTAAGTTCTCCTTTTTGGGTTTCCGTCAAACAGCAAAAAGAGAAAGGGGCAACTCCAAAAGCGAGCCACCCATGTCGTCGTTTCTTCGCACTCCGCTCCCACATGGAAGACTCGTCCCAGGAGCACACGCACGGCAAGCGCTACTTCACCTGGGATCCCAAGCACTTCCCCGCGGAGGCGGTGAAGCAGATGCTGGAGACCTTGAACCGGAGCCACCGGAAGCTGGTGACCATCGTTGACCCACATCTGCCGCTTGTCCTATTTTTTTCCCCCCCCCCTCTCTTTCTTGCTTTTTCGACGAAACCAACTTGACGGCTTGAAGACTCTCCCTGCAGGATGGTGTTGCCGTGCTTGATGAGATCAAGAACCACTGATACCAAGCCCGAACCGAAACCAAGGTGAGACTGGGCAATTGCCCACGTCTTTTTGATTCGCACCATGTCAGGCAACCCCTATTCGGTGCTCTGGATCTGAGCCCCCTTTTTGGCCGCGGAACTCCCTCCTCACCCACCCAAACCGGGCTCACCCAAACCGGGCTCAGAGCCTTCAGCGCGAGGTTGGCGGAGGAGAACTTCTCGGTGGCCGCCGTCTTCCGGCAGCGGCGGCTGCTGGTGGCGAAGCCGTCGCCCGACGCGGCGGACGCGGACGACGCGGAGGCCTTCGTGGGGTTCTGCTGGCCGGGGCCCTCGCTGTATCCGGACTTCTGCGATCCCCAGGCCCGGGAGGCCTGGGCGGAGCTCTTCGACTTCCAGGCGGGAGATCAGGTGCTGGGCGGGTCCTTTTTCTTCTTCTTCTCCGACCCCCCCAAAAAAAACCAGATGGTTTCCTGTTAGTTGCGCTTTAAACCCACAACTAGGGGGGGGTACCCTCAAAAAAGACGCAGCCATATGAAAACAGAGGCCGGGAAAAGGGAAGAAGCCGGCCAACAACCGGGTCCCAAGGTCCCAAGAAGCTGCTTCTTTTCCCATGTCCAGAATCTCGTTTGTTAACCAAGATGCTGGCAACCATGTCACAAGTTGCTGGTAACCAAAAGGCAGCAATTTTTTTTTTCCGGGGGAGTGTGGGAGCAGCCAGGGACAATTAGAGGCCAGACGCTGGAGGTCTGTGGGGGGGAATGAGAGGCCAGAGGCTGGGGTCCCAAAAAACCGGTCGGTTTTCATGTCTCGACAGGCGTACCCGGGGTACAAGGCGGAGCTTTTCACCTGGAACGACATGAACGAGCCCAGCGTCTTTGACGGCCCGGAGGTCACTTTGCCCAAGGACACAAAGCACCGCTGCGGCCAGGACGAGCCGGTGGAACACCGGGAGGCGCAAAAGAGAACCTTCCACGTTTTTTGTTTCTCCGTCTGAAAGGGTCTTTGCTTTGGACAACCTTCGGGGCAGCCAAAGGCGAAGCAGTTCCGAAATTTTTGTTCCCCTCAGGTGCACAACCTCTACGGCTTCTACGTTCAGGACCTGCTTCATGTAGAGGCAGCATCAATGTGTACTCATTCAATGCCAAGGAGTGTGATCATTGGCCTTTGCTGCGCTTGTAGCTCACCATGCTGCTTTTTTTTATTATCAGCGCAGACCATGGGATGAAAATGTGATACACGTGGGCATTGAAATTGGAAGGAGCACGTTGTGACGGGTGTATACAGCAGGGCCCGTCGAACAGTTTCCAGATGAGGCTAGCAATGCGTTGTTCTTTTGCAAACCAAACACTCAAGGATGTTTTAACTGTGAATTGAAAGGCATCATGCTCCTGTTGGCCCCACATGTTAAAAGGGACTAAAAGGTTAAACTTGTCAATTGCAATTATTTTCTGGGCCTGCGGCCTCTAGCCGGCTACGCCTCTTTGAAGTTATACCATGTCATGTCATGTTTTTTGCATGAGAAACGTAGCGTGTGCTATGATATGGCTGGTTAGGGTATGCATGTTGCCCACCTTAACCCCAGATAATGCCGGGGATGCCGGCTTTCTGGGCCCCATCCGGGCCCCAACCCAGAAGGCTGACATGGGGTCGCGCGCGCGCGCGCGCGCCAGAGGACCCCAAAAAAGCAGCCCAAAAAGAGCAGCCCGCAAGCCAGGCCGGAAACGCAAATGCAACAAAACAGCATAAATAGCAGCGTTTTGTGGCTGGGGTCGCGCGCGCGCGCGCGCGCGCCAGAAGGCCCGAAAACCAACGCGAAAAAAGCAAGGACCGCGCAGCACGCGAGCCAGCCACAGCAAGAGCAAAACGGACAGAACAACAGCCCAACGCTCAGCACAGCAGTTTTTGGCGGTATTTGCAGCGTTTTGTAGAGCGAGGACCCAGCATCGCCGGCATGCCCGGCAGCGCTTGGCGCCAAAGTGCGCAAAAATGAGCCTCGCTTATACCCCTCCGATACCTACTTAAAAACAGTGCTTTTTGGGTGGAGAGGCTTTTTGGAAGGAAGTCTTGATGAAGCATCGCCCAGGCCCAACCCCAGACCCTGACGATGTCAGCCACATGGCCTAAACCCAGCCTGTACGCGATGTGTCGCAAGGGTTTTCCACAGTCAAGCGAAGCCGCAAGCCCGAGCTGGTGATGCAGAGGTGCCGGATTTAGGCCGCGCATCATGACCAAGTGGCAAGGGTCGGCGGCACCAGGGTGCAGCCCCTATAGCTAAAGCTAGCAGGCTAATTGCCTAGCAGCCCCAAGGAGGCGTAGCCGGATCAATCAGGCTCCCGCCTTCTGCCGCCGACCCTCGGCGCATAAAGGGAAAAGTCATAAGGGCCGGTCCTGAAACACGGGTGCCAGTCCGCAAGCCCAGGGACCACTTATAAGATCCTCTAGGACCACAAACAAGGATTAACGGAAAAGTCAGAAAGATGGCAGCCAGTCCGTTAATTGCCGCTTGGGCCGGCTTGCGCCCAAGTGAATTCGAGCGAGCGAGCGGTCGCCTTTCCCGGGGTCGCTGGACAGTTCTGGACAGGTCGCCGGCAGGGACCGGGACTTGGGACCCTGTCCAGGCTGGTCCCAGTCTGGCGCGGTTTGAATCGACGTATTGGACTCTCTTGCAGAATACCACAAGGATTGACGGAAAAGTCAGAAAGATGGCAGCTCGTCCGTCATTACCGCGCGGGCCGGTTTGCGCCCAAGTCACGTCGAGTTGGCCCGGGAGTGGGATCCGAGACCAGCGCGGTCGCACTAGGACTTGATCCTGGCACCGGTCCTTGGGACCAGTTCTGGGACCGGTCCTGGGACCGGTCCTTGCAGGACTGGTCTGCTGGTCCCAGGACCCGGTTTTGGCAGAAGTCAGTCCAGGACCAGTCCCAGGACTGGTCCCAGGACTGGTCCCAGGACCGGTGCTGGGACCGTCCCGGCACTGGTCCGGGCGGGACCGGTCCTGGTCCTGCTTTCAGGCGTGCCCAGAAACCAAAAAATCATCATGGATTCCAATCACTTCATTCCAGTTGCATCCCACGCCGGTCCCCAGGCAGAGGGTCGGCGGATTTAGAATGGCGGCTGCAATTGGTGGTATCAAGAGCAAACACAGGCAATTCTCCTTGCAAGAGGGAGAGTATGCAACATAGCGGCGCCTTCCGTCAGTCGCCGCAAGTTGGGCGCTTGACCCCTCTTGTTGTTTTAATTGAGATGAAGCTGGCCACAGTGTGTCCGGCACGCTAAGGGTGTCTGACGTGCCGTGGCCTGCTCTCCAACAGAGAGAGCCGCAGCCACGAGCACGGAGCCTAAGCTTTGCATCTTGACGGAAAATTTTTCCTTTGCGGATTCCTCCACCGAGGGTTCTCAGTGGATGGTTCCCAGTGCGCCCAATGGATTCAGGAGGCGAGCGTCTTGGGTCAGCTGCGGAGGGATCCGCAGACCCGGCCCTTCGTGCTGACGCGGAGCTTCTTCGCGGGGTCCCACCGCCATGGCGCCGCGTGGACCGGGGACAACATGGCCAACTGGAGGCGATCGAACCGGGCGGGGGGGGGGGGCCTGGGCGTTGAAGGCTTGAGACAAAGGAATGGCCAGCCATGGGGTGAGGATTTGTGGGACTGGCAGGCCACTGACCGCGTAAGTTTTTTCCTCTCCATCCTACCATGTGCACGGCGTGCCAATCAGGGCTCGGGATGCTTTTCGTTTTCGTGTTCCTGCCTGGCCACCTGCGCAGCGCTCCAAAAGGCTCAAGTCGCCCCTCGCGCGCGCGCGCGCGGAGCGCGTCTGAGGCACTTGGAGCGCTCCGTGGCGATGCTGCTCTCCCTGGCGCTCTGCGGCATGTCGCTGGCCGGCGCCGACGTGGCCGGCTTCATGGGCGACCCCGACGTGGAGCTCTTCGTGCGGTGGCACCAGCTGGGGATCTGGCGCCTCAGCATGTTGACCGTTCACCCTGGATGGAAAGGCAAGATCCATCTCGCACCGCCTGAGAAACATTGGTTGAAACCATGACGTTTGTTTGGAGGTGACAGGGGAATTCAATCAGAGACCAGGGTTTTTGAACGGTAGTGCGAAACGGATTTCGTCCATCCACAGTATTGCTCAACCCCAGTTTATGAATGGCTCCGGTGTTCCAAGGTTTAGTGTGGAGTCAGACCATCAGACCACTTTGGGATGGCCCCCACCTCCCTATAATTAAGCTGGGGTTGATTAATATGCTGTCAACCTTAGGTGTCCTTTCTGGTTGTTTTGGTAGAACATAGAAGGGGATTTTGTTCTGGTTGACCTGGTGGGTTCAACTACGGCCAGTTGTTTTCGCAAAAAAGCATCTATGCACCCGTTGCGTTGTGAACGGTTCGAGGGAACTTTTGAAACGTGGTCCTGTGAGGTTGTGAACTTTGCGCTTCGCAACTTTGTCGCGTCTTCCACAGGCTTCCCCTAACTTCACCGCGCTCAGTCTTTCATCCATAGAAAACCCTCCATCGCATTCTTCCGAACTTTTATCCCGGACCGGTTGACCGACCGACCGATCCGCGCATCGCGCTTCAGCGCTCTCCCAATGCTCCTGCGTAACCACCAACACACACTCTTGCAGCTACCTCCAAGAAGTATCTAGAAACGCATGGTTCCTTGTTGCCCTCGAATTGAAGCAAAAACACGGCCACACGACTTCAGCGCTTTCAGCGCTGTGAGGTACCCCTTCTACCGCGCCCACGCGCACCTCACCAGCAAGCGCCGGGAGCCGTGGCTCTTCGAGCCGCAGGTCACGGAGCTGGTCCGCCAGGCCGTGGTCGCGCGCTACCGGCTGCTGCCCATGTGGCGCCTCGGTCTTCGGCTTTCGGCATTCGACGCGGCTGGGGCCGTTCTCTGTGTGACTAACCCCTAGGAACAGCCAGATGCCCGAGGGAGGTCTGAAAAAGAGGGTTCTCTGAACAGGAACGGGTTCCGTGTTAATCTGCAGGGGGAGTGAACATGCGCAACATCTTGAGATGGATTGGGGATAAAAATAGGTAGCCAATGACATTTGTGGCTCATTTTGAGAGAGATCTAGTAGCTTCAACCATCTCCTTTCCGTGTTCAACCTGACGCCGGTGCGCTTCGCACCGCTTGCAATCCAAGCTTCGGGGCTGTCGGCTTCGGGGCGCCTCGATGTCATGCTTCTGGGTCGAAGATTGAAGCAGGGAACAAGGGAAACCTGTAGATTCCCAAGGGTTGTGGTTGGTTTACTTGCATCTTTTTGGCATCGGTAGTTGTTGTGCCAAATGCCTCATTGCTTTGTCTCAGACCTGTGAGCTCTGATTTTGGATCGAGCCTGGCATCCAGTTTTGCACGAGTTATGTTGTGGGGAGGGGTTGAGGAGGGGGAAGTGGTTCTGTTCACCAGACAAGGGACACGTCCCCCCAGTTAGAGTTGCAGAAACGCATGCGCATCATTGCGTTGACACGAGATCAAGCTGGCAGATTGGCAGACACAGAATTCAAGCCAGGAAGTGGCAATCCTACCTGCAAAAGTCCGCAGAAGCCCGCCTTTTTAGGACCGGGGACCTTCAAAAATGGGTTCCATGTTAGTAGGGGAGACTCTTGCTTGTGCATGAAGCCGTCCCCGGGAAGTTTTTGATGGTCTCTGGACGTCTGGGACTGGAGTCACAACGAGGCCAATAAGATACATTTTTGGCACGGTAAAGATGTAGTGTAGCCAGCTCACATGTGGCTTTGAATTTTAATGGAGGGAACCCCCTGAAAAGTGGTTGGTGGACATAAATCCCCTAAATTTGATGTCCACCAAAGGGTCCCTAATTAAAATTCATATGTGACACCGGCCACCAAGCCCATGAGCTTGGCAGACTTCAAACCAGGAGGGTCTGCGAGGTTGGGGATTGGGGCAATGAGCCAAAGGGATTGGGGGGAGCTGAATCATCCAATGGCTGTCAAGAGCATGTCAAGGGTGGGACCCTCCCAAAAGGACTCCTAACTTACCCCCGAAAGAGCGCCATCAGTCCTTATCGCCCTTGTTGTGCTTGCGGGACTTCCTTGTCGGGGGGCTAACCCTCAAAGGAAATCAGAGGTGCTGAACCGGGGAAACCGGAGAGCACCAGAGGTTTCGCATGAGGTACACCCTTGCCGCTGAGTGGGCACTCTTGGGCTCACCCATGATCCGGCCGATCTGGTACAAGGACCTAGGCGACCAGCAGGCGCACTCGGCGTGACTTTGCGCATCTTGGGGTGATGTAAGGATAGTGTTGGGTAGATGAGTGAGAAGCACAAACCTTGAACTCGTGCAAGAGAAGTTTGCAACATCCGATTTGCATCGATTTGGGCACAAGCCGCCTTGAACTCACATCAATTTGAGCACGGCTTTCAGGCGTACGAGCATGCCGACACCCACTTCTTCGTGGGGGAAGCGCTGCTGGTGCGCGCTCCAGCGGAACACGCCAAAGCGCTGACGGTGTATTTGCCGGGCACCGGATCGAAGTGGTTCGACTTCTGGCACCTTACGCGGGCGCCCAAAGTGGGGGGCGAGGCCTTTAAGGCCCGGCGGTCTAGACCCGTGTGTGGTCGTTTTCGCATTTTCTGGTGGACTTTTGCTCGATTCCTTGACAGATCTTGCGAGCAGTGCATGGGTTCCCCGCCGATTGCCCGTGTTGGCATTTAATCCCTGTGGAGGAGCCCCTGCAGAAGCAGCACCTCCCGGTTTTCGCCCGTGCAGGGCATTGCTTGGCGCAGAGATGGCGGCCTCGCCGCAGCACTGGCGCCATGTGGCGGGACCCCCACACCATCGTCTGCTACTTGGACGACAGCGCCGGCGGCTTCGCGCAGGGCCGGGTATACTTGGACGACGGCCGCAGCCACGAGTACCAAGGAGGCGCCTTCGTCTTCGACGAGCTCCGCTTCGAGCACGGCTCCCTGCGCGGCGCGCCGCGCCGAGGGGGGCTGCCGGGGCTGCCGGGGCCGGCGGCGGCTCTGGCGGCGCCAGCGCTGCCCGACTCCGCGCTGCGCGTGGAGCGGCTGGTGCTGGTGGGCCTCGACGCGCGGAACCTCCGCGTGCGGAGCTCCGCGAAGGAGGCGCTGGAGTTCCATGCGGAGCCCATCGCCAACTCCACGCTGAGCGTCGTCACGGTGAAGGAGCCCGGCGTGCGGCTGGGCACGGAGTGGTCTGTGGACTTCCGGTGAAAAGCGGCCGAAACCGGACGAGTTCAAGTGTGTGCGCGTGGGACTAGCCTCGCCAGGTTGTCAACTACATGCTCGGCGTACTCGGCGAGAACTGGACCAAGGCCACCCACATATCCCATTTGGCAAGATGCATCCGAAAGACATGTTGGCAGTCCAACATCTCGGACCTTGTGCTGGTGGGCCCAGCAAACATGGGCCGGAGGCTTTTCGCAAGTGCGCAAGCACATGCGCTCATGTGCCCACCGTGAAGAGACTAAGGCTCTCCTTCCATGTTTGCCGCCTACGCCAGCTGGATGAATTGGATGAATTGGATGCATTGGCTTTAATATTGGAAATCGGTACTTCTTGCTTCCTGGGTGACTCATTCAATATGTGTGTATTTCTGATACGATGTCGAGCCGAGGCAAACGGGCCAAGCACCATGGCATTAAATGACATGGTTCCTGGCATGCGCATATTTTTCTTCAGTTTGATCTGTTTGGCGTTGCTTCTGCGAGTTTGGAAGAACCAGAGCTGGCTTCTCTCTCAGGCACAGTGGTTCACACATCGGTGATCCCTGTGGCCGACATGCTGGACCGGCCGTGTTGTTGTTGAGTCACTCAGTGATGACAGGATCTGCTTGTTGCAAAGTTTGTGATCACCTCTCTCCCATGTTTTCCAGGAGGAAACCGGATCCATTGCACAAAAAATGCTGACGAATACGGGCTCTATGCTTGTGCTGTGAACATAGGTGTGCTTGATTGGTCAGGGCTCCTTAAAAGATACGTTTTGCAACCATTTGAAACATGGCTTTTTCCACCAACATAAGGGGAAACCACCATTTACAAGGCAATGTTCAGGTGTAATGTAAGGACCCCTGTTGGTCTGCTTGGAGATCACCGAAAAGGGGACACGCGTCGGAGCTTGGGTCTAGGAGATCCGGCTCCGGGACGTGGCTTCCACATGGCCAGGTGCGGGCGGTTGGGTCGGCGGGGGGGGGTAGGATGCGGTCCCTTTTTTTTGGGATGTGGTCCCTGCTCGGACCCTCCAAAATGGCGCTGGTGCCCGAAAAATAGGGAAAGCAATTCTTCAATCGGGCGTCGGGTTTCTTTCTTTCTTTTCTTTTTTCCCGTGCAAGGCATGCTGGCATGCCTGCCCACAAAGCTTTGCGATGTGGATGCGGCTTGGATCAGCAGTTTCCGCTCGGGGCGCTGGGGGTCGCCACGACAGCCGCGTGTTGGATTTTGGCGCCGGTATCGTTATCTCAACTGCGATGCTAAGACATGTGTCGCGAACTGCAGTTTCCCATGAACATCTCGACCCAGACAGCTTACCAGCCTCGCCTTTTGAATCCACTCTGAAGCCATCTCTTGGCACCATTCGAGGTCTTTGATGGGCATCCCATGGCCGTGTCACCTGAACGACGGCCGCTGGGACGGAAGCGAACTGTTGTGAATTCTGAATCCACGGGATACTTGCCATCATTAGAGCAATGGCTGTGTTAGAACCGCCATTGTTTACTAGGATTGTCCTTATCTGAATTGGGTCAACGCTTTGGTCCGCGAGCCTACCGGCCCAACTTCGGGGCGAGAATGGACTTGCTGTGGTGCGTTTTGTTCGTGTCTCCCGCCGGCAGCGACTTGGGCCAGTTGGGCACGGTCGGTGTGATTCTTTAGCTTGAATTGAGCCACAACCCAAACCCGTGTAGATGGAGGTTTTTTGGGGCAGTCGCCAGGTCTCAGGTGCGGCCTCGCACCTTTTTCCTTGGACTTGGGGATCGACCCTAGCGAGGGGGTTGGATTGCGATAAAAAACCCGAACGAGGTACTCCACCTCGGAGTGTGTGCCGTTCCTGGAGGACTTGGCACAGTGCGAGGACGAGGAGCTGTCTGGTGGTGACATGGACCCCACTTGGGGAATTGTTGTTGGGGTGTCTTCTTTATAGGGCCTAGGGGGTTTTTAGGGGCTTCCCCAAGATTGGTTGGCTTGGTCTCCTTTGATCCTTCCCAAAGGGGCTCCTTGTGAGACATCAGTTGCCACAGGTTACCTTTCAGTTTTCTGGAGCAAGCCACTTCAATTACTGCACCAGTTCCCTTGCAGCACGTGGCACCGGCGTCCACTCGGGTCTCGGGCCTGGTTGGGATTCGCCTTTCTTGCCCGAACATAGGAAGGGTGTCTAGTGGCATCACGATGCCACCTCCTCAGAACCATCTCTGGCACATTTGGCAATGGCTTTGCTGCACGGTGCGCGGCATCACGGCTTTTCGTTGAGCAAGTGGTCAAATACTTCAAGCTTTGCCCGTGTCCGGCATACTTTTGTGTCGGAATATTCTGTTCGTTCAGTCGACTAGACATCATACTACTACAATACTACCTCCTTGATCCTGGCAGCGAAGATCGATGGAGACTAGGCAGAGCTATGCTGCCCTTTCCCTTACAAAACATGGGATCTCGCGCATTTGCTCAATCGCCTTGAGCTACCTGCTTCATCCAGGGATGATTGTTCAGGGCAATCTTCAGATAGGAAGAAATCCTGGGACACAGCAAGGCTGCTCATGTTGTTTGCTGATTCTTGAGCAACAGGCCCCCTTTTTTGTTTTTGGCTCAGAGAAACGACATTGGTTGCAATGGAATGCCATTTTTGTCAAAGCTTGCAGGATTATTTTGCCAATTTGTTTTGCTGTCAAACACGCAAGCCGCAACAAGAATTGAGAGTTCAGAAAGCAAAGAGCGATATGTGTGTTGTCGGACGCTTTGCGTCCGCATTTCTACCTGAGATGTGCCAGATGTTCTCTGCACCTACCTGGTAGCTTATTCTGCGTAGATGGCAGAATAGTTCTGAAATGTCAAGACGTTTGCGGGGTCCTGCCAGGACATGCCAAGTCAACACGATCTTTCCAAACAACTGGGAGTTGGCCCAAATGTTAAATACAAGTCGGGACGCATCGAGACATAGTGTTGCGGCAAGAGATGGAGAGACGTGAAGTTTGTGAAGGTAGCCTGGCCAGCTGACAAGCTCAACGGCACAAACAGCTGACGGCAACGTTGATGAGGTTTGTTGCGCTGCTTGGTGCCATGCATTGACTCGAGCATGGCTTGCGCATTTGCCTACTGATGCTTCCTGGCCAAAAGGAGCTCGTCAAGCAACAAAAGCCTGGTCAATCCTCGCAATCAGACGCTGACAAGTTTAGAAATTTGCTTGGCAGTTGGGCCCCCCCCCTCCCCTCCCACCCTCCCTCCCCCCTTCGCCTTCTCCCACCCCCCCTCCCCCCCTCTCCCCTCCCTCCCCCCTTCGCCCCCTCCCCCCTCCCCCCTGCAAGCTGCTGCATGGCCCGCTCGCCCACTCGGTCGAATGGCAGCGCTAACAATGAGTCGATCCAAGGGTTCTTCTCGCCAGGAGAAGCGGCACATCAAAGACGAGCAGAACTCTCTCCACGACTCCTGGACGCACCAAATGGGGCGATTTTTGTTTTTTTGGGACGTTTTTTTTTTTTTTGTAGTTTTATCAGGGTCCCCCTATTTTAAAGGGACCCCAGAACTAAGACAACGCCACAGGTTTCTCCGGGCGTGTTGCTCCCATGGTTCAGCTCCGTTGCCCTAGGAGCATATGAGGAAATGGCTCGAGGACCAGGGTGCTCTCCCGTAAACTTGCGTCGCGACTCCGGAATGGTGTCGCATGGATTTGGCCATGGGTCAAAATCCCGTACCCCCAGTGAACATCCCAATCCCCAATAAAATAGACTAAAATGGGTGGTGCACCTGCTTGACCCACAGACATTTTTCTTGCTGATTTCGTAGCCACAGGAAGGTTTCACTCGCCAGATGTGGACTAGGTGCTTCGGCGCAATTGACATTCTCTGCTAGTTTGGGGTATCTGACAGGAGCATGGCTTCATTGACGTGACACGAAATTGGAACGCACGCGGGGAGCCCCGAGTTACGTTGAGACGTGAGCCACGAGCAATGTGTGCGTGTGTGTGTGTGTGGCTCAAGATGAAACAGCTGGGGCAAACCATGCTTGCTTTCCTTGTGCCAAGGAGCCATTTTTGGGAATCCTTTTTTTGAGCCACCATATGTTTGGTAGTTGAGCGCCCATGGCTTCCATGGAGTTTAGGGAAGGGTACTGTGAGAAAAAGGCGCGAGTCTTTGTTTTTCGAGTTCTTGCATCTCACTCTCAGCAAGTTTTCCTCAATGAGTTTCCCTTGTGCTCTAAACATGTGCCTTCGGTCTTTAAGTGGGTCGGAAAGAGTCTGACTGAATCCACCCCTCTGCACCGCTCAGAATTCGCGAACGCGGCTGCGCGCTTACTTGTCAGCCGCGACTGCTTTCTGGATGGGTTGCGATGCACAAAGGATGGGGAAGCTTGGGGGGTCACGGTCACTTGCAGTGATACCAAGGGAATCCCCAGAAGTATCAAGAAGTCATGAAAATGGACGGCCCTCGGTCTTCACATGTCGCGCCCCCAAAGTGAGGCTGTGTGCAGGAAAGGCATCGAGCAGACAATCGCCCCTGCGTTGAAGCCTCCGGCTTGCCGCGACTGAGAAGCAAGATGCCGTGACTGCGAGGTTGCGGTTCCCTTTTCTTTTTTTGAAGGAACCCAGGAACCGCCAAAAACTTACCACAAGGGCCTTGGGGTACGCCTTTTTGGTTTGAAGAACTGGTGGTTTTCCTCTTGGATTTCATTAAAAGCCAACCAACAAGGGGAACTACTTCCAGAAGAAGACAGACTCATCTGGCGTGAATCAGACACTGAGAGCGTCAATCAGACACTGAGGTACGCATGTGATTTATGCCGACGGGATCAAAACCCTCAGCCAGATGCGGTTCTCCTCGAACTTGTACAGGAAGGCAGTCCATGGGCATGGCAAAGCTCTTTGTGCAGTGCCTTCAGTTCAGTCCGGACCTGTGAATTGATCTCTCTGGATGGTTTTCAGACCAATTCCCCAGGTAATTGGTTTCCTATTGGTTTCCCTGCAGAGCCGTCCGAAAAAGGGACCTCCGCAACCTTTCTCTTTGACTTTGC